TTGTTACCGACTTCAAAAGGGGGAAAATTAGATGTATTTTTATAAAGACGATGCATTTGATAAAGAAATTGCTTACATGATTCCTGGAGGGGAAGCCATGGAAGATCGTCTCCGCTCTCTCTGGCCTCTTAAACTCTTCTCTAGTCAACTTCATGTAATTCATGGCTTCAAAATCTACAGACAGTTTACTTCTGTTCCTCGTTCTTGTTCCTACAAATCAAATCCAGTAGCTGAAACTCAGCAGAACACCTTCGGAAGCAAAATCATGGACTATGGTAATTCAAGATCTGCAAGGTATGGCCATCTTTCCATATTCTTAATTTCTAACCTTCATTTCCTATATAATTTAAATTTGATGGCATTATTCATCAGCATTTTTTTTTCTTTTCATTGTAAACTTACTGGAGAAAGTACTGTGGTTAGCATTAGCAGCTGTTAGGTTTAACATTCAGAACATGATGATCTCTGCAACCATGAATGGAGTTAACTGCTGCCTCAGGTTCCCTGGTCAACTCAACTCTGACCTTCGGAAGCTTGCTGTAGACTTGATTCCATTCCCTCGTCTCCACTTTTTCATGGTTGGGTTTGTTCCTCTGACCTCCCGTGGATCCCAGCAGTACCGTGCCCTCACTGTCCCAGAACTAATCCAACAAATGTGGGATGCAAAGAATACGATGTGTGCTGCAGAACCAAGGCATGGTCGCTACCTCACTGCCTCAGCCATGTTTAGGGGCAAGATGAGCCCCAAGGGAGTGGATGAGCAAATGATCAATGTCCAAAACAAGAACTCTTCCTACTTCGTGGAGTGGATTCCGAACAATGTTAAATCTAGTGTCTGTGACATTCCACCAAGAGGGCTCTCAATGGCATCCACTTTTATTGGGAACTCAACCACCATCCAGGAAATGTTCAGGAGAGTGAGTGAACAGTTCACTGCCATGTTTGGGAGAAAAGCTCTCTTGCACTGGTATACTGGTGAAGGTATGGATGAAATGGAGTTCACAGAAGCCGAGAGCAACATGAATGATCTTGTGTCTGAATATCAGCAATACCAGGATGCTACTGCTGATGAGGAAGGAGAATACGAGGAGGAGGAGGAAGGAATGGAGCACATGTGAGGCAAGATAGAACACAAAGGTACCATGTTATGTATGATATCATGCATGTGTACTTCTACCTGGTATGTGAGTGAAAAACCTTTCTCTAAAATTTTATTTGTCCTTGAAGTGCATCCGTAGAGCAAGGAGAATCACAATGTTCTCCCAGGAAAATGGTAAGATGTGGAGAGATATTATGAGTGGGAATGTTCAGGTATTTGTTTGAAAGCGGTTTATGCTGTACTTCTATGCTTGGTTTTGAACCCCTTTTACTTCTCATACAGACAGTATCTCATATTTTGATCAATGGTAATGTGCCCTGCATATTTTTGTTGTACATGTTGGCTCCCTCTTTCTGAAAATTTGGTCCCTTATGCTTGTCTAATTTTAGGTCGGATTGTTATCCTTTGTAATTTATTTCAAATTATATTTTGTTTTGTCAATTGTTGATTACTAGTTATTATTCTGTAGTCATTGAATTGTAATTTATTGAATTATGTACCTATAGAAAAAAAAAAGAAGGAAAATTCGAATCTACAATTGTCTGATATTTATTTCAAGTCCAAGGGCTAGATTACACAAGAAACACACCATCGAAAAAAAAGACTGCACAAGAAACAAAGATACTAATTGCATCAAGACTGGCACACTTTCTCAAACACACAAGAACACTGAACACCCATAAATTCCCTTCAGCAAAGTCTGAGAGTATAATGGCTACTCCTCCTTTACACAATCCTCCTCCTCTATCACCTCTTGTATGACACGATAGCTTCCCATGACCCAGATTATGCTAATGAATTCTCGTCCGTATTCTCCCAGCTGCCTAACATGGTTTATATGCTGGTCCGAATGTGCTGCATAAAGAAGCATTTCAATCCACATTGCCTTTATCAGCTCCCATTTATATCTGTTTCGGTTCAATTTTGTGGCCAGGTATCCCGCATATTTTGGCAGATTCCCCATTGCAGTCTCGGCACTTATGTGAAAAAAGGAAAAGTTATGTTTAATTAAAAATATTGGTTAATTTAATTATATTTATTTACAAATAAATAAATAAACCAACCTGATTTCGCGCTGGTCCAGCAACAGTGAATTCACAGCAGCGTCCTTATTTGATGCCTTTGAGATAAGGTCCGTGAGCTTATCAAGAGCAGAATCCGACGAGAAACTCCTACAATCGTCAGGCAGTAGCATAGCAGGCCGCATGACCAGCAGATACATCATATAATCTGAAAAATATTTGCTGATCTTCATGGCTTCATTGCGAGCATTATTGGGGTTCTGGGAATCTTGATGGTAACAAATACATGTGGCCAGGTGCCAGGCTATGATGCTAGCATCAAAGTGGATTTTGATGCTAAATTCGAGGTCAGCACGTATATCAGATATTCTCTCCCCCAGTTCAACAAGCGTCCTCTCCCCCCTTGTTGCTTCAAAGGAATCACTTGGGACGAAGAAGGAATCTAGCCGACTTTGGTAAACCTCTTTTGGCTTCAAACGGTTTGGAACTTCCACAAACTTGGTATGCTTTAACCTGTGACAACTTTCAAGAATATCACCGCTACAGTACTTTTGTAGAAACCTATAAACCCGGACCATCCTAGAATTCCAGCAATAATCCAACAAATCAAATTGTCCCATCCAAGCTGACCGCTTCTTCTGTAGACTTAAGAAGCAAGGAAAGTATTGCAAGACATACTGGAGGATTTTGGGTGCCGAACAGTTGTTATACATTAAAATTACTGCCCAATCAGAACAAAGATTTGAGAGCACAGCACAAGTATCCAGTGCAACAGTTTCAACCAACATGCACATTGTTATGAAAACATCATCTGGTGCTATTTTGTTCAGCATCAAACCCCCGAATGCTAACCGGAAGATGAAGAAAAACAGAGTTCCAATAGAAAGAGTGAAGCTGATGAGGCGCAGGATGCATCCTTTCCAAGTATAAATGAAATGAGCTTTTGTGTAAACAACATCAAATATAAATCCCAGTTCTACAACAGCTATGTCAAAATGAGTCAAATGATTACCACTCCTTCGCTCGTCACTTTCAAGCAAGCCTTGCAGAATTGATTTGACTTGATTTTCCCTTAGATAGGTTCTCATTCTCTCTTTAAAGGACAGGGGATACTCCTTATAACAGAGGTAATCATTGACATCCGGTCTCATAGCTGCAAACAAAATATAACCCAGGAGGACTTCTTTTGATTCTTGATTTTCTATTAATGGGTGAGATTGAAGACCAGGATTTTTAAAGTCGGAGTTTGTTTTCAAAGAGTTGGTGAATTCAAGACACAAAATACTCTCTATGTGTTTGCTGATTCCAACAAAATAGAGAGGAACTGAGAAAACAGGGAGAAAAGATTGGTTCACTGACCAAATAATGTCACAGAAGGCAAGATAGCATTCGACAACTAAGATGAGGAGATGTCTGGACCAGAGCTGGATATCTTGAAAAGAATAGGCAGTGATGGTGTCAGGGCCACCGAGGTTAAGTGTAAGTAATGGAGTCCATAGTGAAGTAAAAATATTAGAGATTTGATTTGAGGCATAATTGTCTTCTTGGCAATTAGATTGCGTAGGCTGTCGTTTGTTCCAAGGAGGAGGCTTAAGTGGATTGGTTGGTTTGTGAAGAGCAATCATGTTGACCCAATCTACTTTGGAATTAGAAAGCTTGCCACGAGCATCAATGCTCACTCCTGAATTAGAAAGCTTACCAAGAGCAGCAATGCTGATCAAATCTTTGCCTTGGTAGGCTAACCAGAGAATCAATTTGTTGATAAGGCTAACACTGTGCTTTCTACGCTTACCCAAGACAAAGAGAGCGAGTTGTAAGAGCAGGCTCAAAAGAAGCATCGCCCTCACATCCAGTGTTCGCCACACATCTGAAACATGATTTGAAATCACTGGTGGTGGTGGTCGTGGTAGTTGCAGTGATGATCGTGTAATAAGCGGTGACGTTGCAATTGATGGTGCTGTTGGTGATGGGGCAATTGTTAATGGAAGCCGTGGTCGTGGTGCAATTGATGGCGGTGGTGGTGCAATTGATGGCGGTGGTGTTGCAATTGATGGCGGTGGTGCTCCAATTGATGGCGGTGGTGCTCCAATTGATGGAGGTGGTGCTCCAATTGATGGCGGTGGTGCTGCAATTGATGGCGGTGGTGCTCCAATTGATGGCGGTGGTGCTGCAATTGACGGCGGTGGTGCTGCAATTGACGGCGGTGGTGGTACAATTGACGGCGGTGGTGTTGCAATTGATGGCGTCGGTACTGCAATTAACGGTGTTGATGGTGAAATTGACGGCGGTGGTCCTGCAATTGACGGCGGTGGTGCTGCAATTGACGGCAGTGGTGGTGCAATTGATGGCGCTGGTGGTGCAATTGATGGAAGTCGCGGTGGTGGTCCAATTGAAGGCAGTGGTGGTGCAATTGATGGCACTAGTGGTGTTGGGGCAATTAATGGTGAACATGGGGGTGGTAGTGCACTTGATGGCGGTGGTGGTCCAATTGATGGCGGTGGTGGTGCAATTGATGGCACTGGTGGTGTTGGGGCAATTAATGGTGAACATGGTGGTGGTGGTGCAATTGATGGCACTGGTGGTGTTGGGGCAATTAATGGTGAACATGGTGGTGGTGGTGCAATTGATGGCACTGGTGGTGTTGAGGCAATTAATGGTGAACATAGCGGTGGTGGTGCAATTGATCGCACTGGTGGTGTTGGGGCAATTAATGGTGAACATGGAGGTGGTAGTGCACTTGATGGTGGTTGGGGTGTAATTGATGGCGGTGGTGGTGCAATTGATCGCGGTGGTGGTGTTGGGGCAATTAATGGTGAACGTTGCGGTGGTGGTGCAATTGATCGTCGTAGTGGTGGTGGTGGTGGTGGGGCAATTAATGGTGAACGTTGCGGTGGTGGTGCAATTGATCGTCGTAGTGGTGGTGGTGGTGGTGGGGCAATTAATGGTGAACATGGCGATGGTAATGCACTTGATGGCGCTGGTAGTGAATGGACAATTAATGGTGGTGGTGGTGCTGCCTTCTCACTGTTTACACACATGCAGATACCCAGCAACCTCAAAACATGAATCAAAATGATGATCATAATTGATAATCTATTATTAGACAATTTCTGGACAGACCTTCCAAACATTGCAGTTTGTGGGTGGATGCGAGTTGATAATATAGTTTGGGCACAAGTCTTTCCAGTTTTTTTGGGATATGATGTATGAACTCTGATGATTGATGTTATGCATGTATAAATAGGCACTCAATTCGAAAGATAGAGAACCTTGACTACTTATGGTCAATGGCAGAACATGTTG